AGGCTAGCCTGGACAAATTGGAGAGAACTTGTTGGAAGAAAGAAACAAATAGAGTGAAAGAAAGAAGATGTAGCTCAATGGTAAAGTGCCCTGGGGTTCAATCCACAGTACCACAAGAAAAAAAAATCGGGTCATGTTATTGTTCTACAAATCATGAATGGATCATTTTGTTCTCCTGCTGAAGAGGCTTCAGTGGTTCCCTATTGCCCTCAGGGTAAGTCTAGACACTGATGGGCCTCAAAGGCCCAAGATCTGGCCTGAGATGATCTCACCTCCTTATCTCCCACCTATTTTACACCTGGTCTGCCTTACACCAGCCTGCCTGTAATTTCCTGAACATTGTCCCTACGTTTTGGCCTCTGACTTTTCTCTGTGCCTCCCTTCTACCTGCAATGTTACTCCCCCCATTCTCTTGAAAAACCGCTCAAATGTGCCACCTCAGGGGGACCTGTGTCCTCTTGAAGCACCCATCACTGCCTATTTTCCTTGTCTGTGACCAGAACCAGGCACAAATGGGGCTGCAGTGAATAGAGGGAACACATTCAAATTCACCTGGCCCTCTCCCGCTGGTCTTGAGAGAGGGAGGGGCAGCATCTGAGGGCCAGACACTTTCCCAACAACTACTACCCTGGATCTGAAAGGATACAGCAGAAACCCTTATACAAAGGAGACCCCTGAAGCTCAGGAAAGGCAGAAAGTTTCCATGGTGTTGTGGTTAGGAAGGACTGAGTCTGAGCTTCAGCTCAGCTCTCTGAGTCATCATCAGTTCAGCTCTGCCTGAGTCAGGCATTGCTCTCTGGAGCACATCCTCCGCCTTATGCTGTGCTGGGAGCTGGGCACAGCAAGGAAATATGGGCACTTCTAACTTGGAGGAGTTCATATTCTTGGAAGGGTAGACTCAGGCCTGAGAAAAATCCCTCTAACAGATGGCATAGGATGATGAGAGCCCAGTGAACCCCAGGTGCTCACACATGGTGCTGTTCCATTTTAGGAAGTCATGCAGTTCATTTCCCAAAACCCAGAAAACCAGAGATTCACCTCACCCTGCTCCCTAGCCTCCATGGGTTACAGCCCTCTGTTGGGCAGCTTCCCCCCAGCTTTCTGTGAAGAGAGAACAGAAGCCTGCTTCTTACTGTGGCTGTGGCTATATCATTCGCTCATTCTCCAGATATTCAGCAAGCATTTGTGGAATACTTGCTGTATGAACACCAACAGTGGGGTGCCCAGAGGTGATGCTGCACTACACTCATTCCTGCTCTGGTGGCTCACGGTCAATCAGAAATGGTATGATTCCAAGTCTCTGTACCTTCTCTGTCACCAAAGCAGGGTGAGGGGAAGCTTGGGCCTAGGTGATGGGTGAATGCACCTTTCTTCAGTGAGGTGGAGGACCAGGTGATAGGGAAGATGACATAGTTAGTTTGAGCAGGTGGCGTCTTAAGGCTCTGGGTACCATCAAAAAGAACATGTCTAGAAGGCAGCTGGACATGTGGATAAAGGAAAGAGTCTCCTGGGTGGAGACAGATTCTGAAGGAGACAGTGGTCAATCATATGACCAAGAGGTCAAGTGAGATAGGACCAAAAGTGCCAGAAAAGTAGGCGGATAGTGCACTTCAGTGTGTGGTGCGGGCAGAGGCATGTTTGAGAGGGCTAGGTGTGGGACTATAAGCCTGTACCGACAACTAATCTCTACCCTCCTCCATCCCCAGCCTGGACCGTACTTTCCATCATGTATGTTAAAGGTCAAGTACCAAGATGTTGACCTGTGTTTAAGTCAAGGCTTTACCACTCCTGCTGTTCTTGGAGCCTCTTCTCCTTTCTGATGCTTTAACTGCACCCATCCATTCACTCATTAAAATTGCAAATTGAAGCTGGGCACCTTGGTACACACCCTCAATCCCAGTGACTCCAGAGGCTGAGGCAAGAGGATCACAAAGTCAAGGCCAGCCTTGGCAATTTATTAAGATCCTCAGCAATGTAGTGAGATACTGTCCCAAAATTTAAAAAATAAATAAATAAAAAGGGCTGGTGATGTAGTTCAGTGGTAGAGTGACCCTGGGTTCAATCTCTATAGTATCACCCCTCCCCCCACACACACACAAACAAAAATTCAAATTGAAGAGGCACTTCATCTCATTAATAACCAGAACAATGCAAATATAAACAAGAAGACACCCATTTTTGGCCTGAGATTGGTAGTGATGACCAGGAGAGTAGGGATTGATTTGAGTGTTTCTGAGTAGTGTATTCAGCATATTTCAGGAAGTTAAGTGCAAATCTCCCTTTCATCCTGCCATTCCTCCTTGAGAAATTTATTCCAAAGAAATAATTGTTTAAACAGGAAAAGAATGGTGCCTGAGATGTTGATTACTGACTTGTTTGACCAGCGCTAAATGGATAGCACAGCTTATCAGTAGGAGAAAGAGGGCTGAAAGTGTGTTTTTTGTTGTTGTTGTTGTTTTTTGTTTTTTGATGCTCTGAGTTACTCTGTTGCCATTAAAAATAGATGTCAGGCACATACTGAGCATCTACTCTGTGCCTGGCATTGTTCCAGATGCTGGGACACAGTTGTGGACCAGATAGACAAAAACTCTGATCTCAAGGAGTTTATACTCTAGCCCAAAGAAACAATAAATGAATTAACCTATAGATAAGATGATTTCTTGTTTGTTTTTTTTTTTTGGTGGGGGGGATTTAACTCAGGGGTGCTTTGCCACTCAGCCACATCACTAGCCCTTTTTTATTTTTTATTTTGAGATAGGTTCTCACTAAGTTGCTTAGGGCCTTAAGTTGCTGAAGCTGACCTTGAACTTGAGATCCTCCTGTCTCAGCTTCTAAGCCTCTGGGATTACAGGTGTGCACTACTGTGTGCCCAGCTAGATAAAATGATTTCTGAGAGAGAAGAGCTGTGAGGAAAACAAGCCATGATAATGAAGTTTGGAGGGATAGAACTAGGGGCTACTTTTTCCAGGTGGTCAAGGAAGTCCTCTATAAGGTAGTAACATTGGAGCTGAGACCTAAATGACCAGGAAGCACTTGTGGAATGATCTATCGGAAGAATGTCCCAGTAAGGTGAAACAGCAAGAGCAATGACAAGGAGGTAAGAATAGGTTGCTATATTCTAATTATGTAGGTTGGAGGAGATGGAAAGAGGTAAGGTCAGGTCAGGGTGGGGAGCAAGCATTTTATATCTATGAATATGGAAATGTGCTCAACACAATAAGTATAGTGGAGTGGAGAAGGCTCCAGCACTGCCTGTGTAGCAGGAGTGTCTTCAGGTGGACCTGCATCCATTGGCCCTGAGTGCTGTCAGTAGTGACCATCCTGTCTGAGCATTGCAGTTTCACTTGGTTGGCTTTTCTTTGTCTTTCCTTAAACTAGGAAAGATCTGCAATGAACATGGGATCATTGCAAAAGGAAAGCAACTTGGCCATTACTTATTGGGGAATCTCCAAGTTGGCCTCTGCACTGGGAGGTGTAAACTTCTAGACCGGGTAGGCGGCTTCCCTGGGGACTCGCCCAAGAGTGGGCAGTCTCTGCCCTTGTCCCCACTGGTCTACCTTTGGCCTCCAGAGGGAGTTGTGAGCAGGGCCATGCTGAGCTAGGGTGGGATGTCTGCTTGTCGGTCCCTGAGGGCTGGGATGGGCGTCCTTCCTTCCTTCCTGACTCCCTTCTCCTAAGGGACAAGTGGGAGGGACGTCTTTGCTGCTTCCAGATCATGGGACGAGCTGTCCCTCCGGGTACCCTTTCAGGTCAGGCCCCAGAATGCCGACGTGTGTGGTGTGTAATTTTATTTCTGGGATTACCTACCAATAGGAGAAGGGTTCTGACAGAAACTTGGGAGGTGTTGTGGTGCAGAAGGCCGGAGCCACCAGGCATCTGGCAATCCCCTCCAGCTATGGGACGGTGACCTCGGCCTAGGATCCCCAAATTGCTGACCCCTGCGCTACCTCCGCCTAGTCCAAATCTAGAGTTGATCTTTGGCGCCACCATGTGGGAAGTGTCCGCGCTGCAGTTATAGGCTTGCCCAAATACCGCCAACTCTAGGGCTGCCCCAGGGCCTCCAGCCCTTTTTTTGTGAATACAGTTACTGGTATGCAGTGACCACCCAACCTGTTCGGTCTGGTGCGTTGGCCCTGCTCATACTCAAACCTGGCCGCAGGTCAGGGCCCTGGAACACCACTGCCACAGTTAAAACTCTCCACATCCCCAAGCCTTTTCAGGAGGGTCAAGTGCTCCCTGTTCCTCCACTTCTTAGTCCTCCCCTGCTTCAAGCTATTCCAGGTATATTGCTCACAGCCAGTTCTCCTCTCTTCGGAAGCTCCCTTTGACGTCTGTGACTACTCCTCCTGGGTCTTCTGAGCTGGCTCTTTTCCTGATCCTTGGGGGCTGGGCCCTCTTTCCTTTTCCTTAATACTTCTCTCTGGGGCATCCCAACAACTTCCAGGCCCCCCTTTTTTTGACCCTGTGATTTCTAGAGTCTAAGTACCCCCGTCTTTCACTCCATTCCCTGCCTTAGAATGACCTTTGAGCACCCCAAATTTATTGTGTAGTCAACCCCATCTCCTCTCCTTAGACTATTCCTCCTGATCCTCCGTCATCCCTTAAGGGAGCCCTCTCCTTCCTACCTGTGCCACTGTGCCCTTGGCTAGGCCACAACCTGCCCCTCCTGCCTGGCCTTAGTGTCCTTGTTTCATCATGCCTGTCCATTCTCCACAGAACAGCTGCATCGTCTCTGCATGCGATGAATTGACCTCCTCACTTCCCCACCGGCCCCTCATCTTTGGCTATGTTCCCCTAGAAGGTCCTACCTCTGGTCAGACTGAACTTCTTTGTGGCCCCTGAATACACCCATGCCTCCCCGTCTTTGCACAGGCTAGGCTGAACTCTTTCATCTGGCTAACTCCTTCTTACCCATTAGGTCTCAGCTAGGAAACAACTCTCTTTCAAATAGCTTCCCTGGGACTCGTGCTGATCAGGACCTTCTTTCTTTGCCCTTACAGCGCTCCAGGCTTCCTTCCTCACTTTCTGCAGCCCCTTTCAAAAGGACCACCAGGGCTCTCCACTCCAAGGCCAGATCCTCGTTGCATCATGTGACTCAACTTGTGCCCGATTCCCACACTAAGAAGGTGCAGATCTCAAAAGCCACTGAGTTCCAGGAGAGCAAGGCCATACTTGGGAGTCACCACAGTGAACTAGTGGGGTAAGAATGGGATGGGACCCAAGGGGTCTTACCTTCCTGTCCAAGGCTTCCTTGTTCCCCTAGATGCCATTGTAAGCTGAATTAGGATCTCTGAAGGGCTGAGGGACCTGGACCAGAAGTGAATTGTCCTGGGGGAAAAGCAGCCATCAGCCTAGACTCCTGAGAGCTGAGGGTGCTGTCCCAGGAAGCCAAAGGGTCTGCTGGTGTGCATATGGCCACAAGTCAGCACATTTGATAAAAGGACCTAATGAGTTTCCCTTCACCCACAGGCTGCCCAGAGGGAGTGCTGGCCTATGTGTCATTCAGGGAGGACCTGAATTCCTAAAGGGTCCTGGTTGCAGCTGTTAGGTCCCCAGTTTAATTATTTCTAACAGTCACACCGAAGAGAATGTGCTGAGATGGGACTTCCCCCTCATGGCCTTGGCTTCCCACGGATCTGATCTCTCCAAATTATTTTGTTCCCACCAGACTAAAGTCTGAAGATCAGCCTGTGTTCCTTCAGGCCAATGCACCCTCATCCTTCTCCAACCACATAGGACTCCTGGCTCTCCCTGAGACTGCTTTAGGTGGTCCCACCTCAGACCTTTGGTCCTGCTATGCCCTCTGCTTCATGGGTGGGCCTAGCTCAGGGAGCTCAGTAAACCCTGATGAACAGAATTGCTCTGTAAATAAACAAAGCACCGAGCAAGCTGCCTGGTACTTAGGGGATGCTCCCTCCACCTTATTAAGTTTGCCCAAAATAGAATATAAAGGATCCATTTAGTCTTTTGTTGTTCCTGTTGTCTTCTTTTATTGCAAAACAAAACAAATATAGAAAATTGCATAAAACAAATGTGCAGCTTATGATAAAGTAAACCTCTTTGGCCCATCTAGTCTATTCTTGTACTCAGTTCCCAAAATTACTCTCCTTGTAGTTCTTGCAGCTTGCTCATTCCAGCCTCTGCCTGGAATTTATTCTGACCTTTATTTCTGAACATTTCCTCCCCCAGGTATAGAGAATCTTCCAGGACTGCACAGTTGCCTTACATCCTTGAACTTTCTTCCTTGTTGCTCAATACAAGTGTGATTTCTTGCTTATTGGCTATGAGTCTTGCAGGGCTGGGGACCATTGTGCCTCACTCAAAACTCCATGTCACAGGAATTTGCTGGGTGCTCAATGAATACCTGTTGGATTATGAATGATTGGAGGTCTTGGGCACTGGGAAACTATCTCCCTGTTTGGTAACTTGCCCAGTCCATGCCATCTTGGTCAGTTGTTTTAAATTGCCCAAAGACACAGGCTTTCTCTCACTTGAGCTGTCTGGATCCTTGCAATTTCTCTAGTCTTTCTCATGTTGTTTTTCTCCTGAGTTCCCAGAATAGCATTACATCTTAACAGTTTCACACTAAAACTGAAAATCTTCCCTGTGATTCCTCCTTACTTATTTCCTGGAATCTGCCTTCCAGCTCCCTTAGCTTATAAAGCCCATGACTCATTTACCCAGCCAGCCATGTCTTCTCCATTGGGATTTCTTGCAGGAAACCTGAGAGCAGTAAGGACATAGTTTTTCACTCTACCCCCTCTTAGCCCTTGCATTTCTTATCTAAAACCCTAGATTTGCTCTATCATGAGAGGCAGTGGAGTTGTTAGTTTTGCCTTGACTTGGGTCGTCCTCATTAAACTAGAGCCCTGTACCTGCAGGGGCCCAACTCAGAACCTTTGCAGTTTCAAGATCCCCAATCCCAAGGACACAAAATCACCTTATTTCCTTACTGAGTTTCCACTTAATGACAATTTTTGGTGTTCCCTGGAAATCTAGAAAACTATAGGAATATTTCTAATGTACTTTCAAGATGCCAAGCTTCTTATCCTTCCTAGGCACTCAGAAATTACTCCCACACACACAATAATTTCTAGTTTAATTTTCTTTCTAAACCTTTCCTTTCCTTCCCTCCCTCCCTCCCTCCCTCCCTTTCTTTCTTCTTTTTGTACTTGGGATTGAACCCAGGAATGCTCTACCGCTAGGTTACATCCTCAGCCCTTTCTTTCTTTCTTTCTTTCTTTCTTTTTTTTTTTTTTTAATTTCAAGACAAGGTCTCACTAAGTTGCCAAGGCTAGCCTTGAACTTACAACCCTTCTGCCTCAGTCTCCCAAGTCAGTGGTGTGTCCAGCTGCATTTGAACATGTTAGAAATCAGAACTGGGCTTGTTGGCTCATGCCTGTAATCCTACAGTTTGGGAGGCTGGGGCATGAGGATCACAAGTTCTAGGCCAGCCTCTACAATTTAGTGAGGACCTGAGAAACTTATGAGACCATGTCTCAAAATAAAAAATAAAAAAGGTTGGGGATGTTGCTCAGTGGTAAAGTGCCCCTGGGTTCAATTCCAGGTACCAAAAAAAAAAAAAAAATCAGAAATTAGCTAAGCATGGTAGTGCCTGCCTGTAATCTCTATTATTTGAAAGGCTGAGGCAGGAAGTTTGCAAGTTTAAGACCAACCTTAGCAGCAGCTTAATGAGACTGTGTCTGAAAATAAAAAAACAAAAAGGGATGGAGATGTGGTAGAGCACTCCTGGCTCAGTCAGTACTGCAGGGAAAAAATGTTCAAATGCAAACTGCAGACTCAGTAGTCTGCACATAGTCAACCTTCATATTGGCCATTCCCTGAAAATTTGTCACCTGTCAAAATGAGAGGGGTTATGCAGATGTTGCCACACTTGGCTAGATTTCCTTAGTGTGTGTGTTATTGTGAACTTTGGGAGAATCTGTTGTAGCTAGATTGGGGGTAGGATTGCATTTTAGGGGCTCTTGATACCAATTATGAATGGCGCTAATATCTGCTAATGATGTGTAACATCTCAGTGGATGTTTGAAAGACTGGGTGTGTATTTGTGTTGAGTTCCTGAGGGTTGTCAAAGGCACTGCTTAATTTAAAAAATGCTTTGCAAGCTGTGCATGGTGGTGCACACCTTTAATCTCGGCAACTCGTGAGGCAAAAGAATCACAAGTTTGAAGTTAACCTGGGAAACTTATCAAGACCCTGTCCCAAAATCTTAAAAAAGGGGTGGGGGTGGGGATGTAGTTCATGGCTAAAAACCCCCTGAGTTCTAGCTCCAGTACCAAAAAAACCCAAAATACTTTTACAAATGTGTCAGTGAAATAAAGCTGAGTGATGGCATGTGGACAATGAATTAATTAGGCTTCAATTAAGTTTAAAAAGAACTTTGGAGAAGTTTACTAATTTCTGATCATCATCAATAATACACCAGACATTCCTTGTACCCTTCCTCCCATCATATGAAAGTTATCAGAACCAAAATGGAGTCACTCATGCCAAATCTTAACAAAATAGTGTTAGGATACCATAAGGAAGAGGGCTCTCACACACACTTGTATATGACCAAAACTATTACAAGTTCTCTCTGAAAACCATAACCTTGCACAAAGGCCTCCACAACCTTATACAACTTACTATACTTCAATAAAGATGCCTACCCAGCAACTGCCTATTCAGTGTTGGAACAATGTAACACTCTTTGGTGATACTTGTAGCCAAGGATAATCATTTCAAAACAATTTATGTTACCTTTCTCATTTTGCCTTTAAAAATCCTTGTCTTCCTGCCATGCATGGTGTGCACACCTGTAATCCCAGTGACTCTGAGGCCAATGCAGGAGAATCACAATTTCAAAGCCAGCCTGGGCTAAATAGCAAGACCTTGTCTCATTCATAAGTAAGTAAGTAAGTAAGTAAGTAAGTAAGTAAATAAATAAATGGAGTAGGGATATAGCTCAGTAGTAGAGTGCCCCTGGGTTTAGGACCATACGTACTTACAAAATGCCCTTATCTTCATTTGCCTCCCTAGGTGTGACTGTGATCATCATGTCATATATATCCTTCATTGTAATTCCTCATTTATTCCTGAGTAAATTAAATTCTTTGAAGAACCACTTTTTGTGTTGTTATTTAGTTGACACACTTGCTCTGCCCTGATGTGGGAACATT